CTTGTCCAGGTCACGTGGGAGCAAGTGGCAGAGCTGGAATATGAACTCCAGTCCTGGGGACTCCAAATCAATCAATCTATAAACATGTATGAAGCACCTATCATGTACTAAGGGTTGGGTATACAAAAGAGGCAAAAGACAGTCTCTGCCCTCAAGAAGCTTACATTCTAATGGGGAAACAACATGAACACAAATATATACAATTGTGTATAATATATTAACAGAGGAAATAATAACCCCCACCTTTATTATTAATTATTATCACTATCATTGGCTAATTGTTATTGTTATTGAATATTAATTAAGATTATTAACAATAATCAGCAGAGGGAAAACGCTGGAATTAAGAGGCATTGGGAAAGGCTTCCTACAGAAGAGGGGGATTTTAGTTGGTACCTAAAGGAAGCCAGGGAGGTCAGTAGTTGGAGCAGAGGAGTCTATCCATTGGTTCACCTAGAAGAGAGAGTGTTCTAGGCACGGGGGATGGCCAGAGAGAATGCTCAGAGCCGAGAGACGGAGGGTCTTGTTTGTGCAACAGCCAGGAGGCCAGTGTCGCTGGGTCAAAGAGAATACACAGGGAGTGTGGTGTAAGGCGACTGGAACAGCGGGAGGGGCCAGGTTACAAAGAGTGCCAAAGGAGCATTTTGTATCCTCTCCTGGAGATAATAGCGAGTCACTGGAGTGTATTGAGTGAGGAGGTTTATTGAGTGACAAGATCGGACCTTTGTTTTACCCAGTTGCCTCTTATGGGACACTCATACGGTCTATCACCCAGCCTGTGCTCAAAGCCTCCTTATTTTGGTACTGCATACCGTTATGTCCCCCTAAAGTCCTTTTTTTTCTTTTTTTTTTTAGGCAATTGGAGTTAAGTGACTTGCCCAGGGTCACACAGCTAGTAAGTGTCAAGTGTTTGGTCTGAGGCCAGATTTGAATTCAGGTCCTCCTGACTTCAGGGCCGGTGCTCTAAACACCCCCCTAAAGTATTTTTAAAAGTCCACATTGGCTCTTAAAATGTGCACTCACTCACCCAACAAGCATTTATTAAATAACTATTATATTCTAGTCACTGAGGATACATATGTAAAAGTGAAATGGTCCCTGCCCTCACTGAGCTTACATTCTTTCATAGTAGACAACACATACACATGTAATGGGAGCTTAGTCAATGAGAACCCAGCTCTCAGGAGCATGTAGAGAGATCGCTGCCTGATGCCATCTCCTGTGTGGGCTTTGGGCTGTGTGCTGGTATTTTGTGATTGTTTTCATTTAGCTCACTGTGTGATTTACTGGACTGACTGCTGAGCTGGATGCTGAAGACCCCCACAGCCATAACTCAATCTCTTTCATGTCCTGCTGTGCTCTAGCAAGGAGGTAAGAACCGTTGTTAGCCTCCAGGTGGAGAGAGCACTGTGAAAAAATAGCCGTGCTGTTGCTTATGGCCTTGTTGTAGGTATCCCTTCCTTTATTTGTTGGAGGGGTACTGGAAATGGAATGAACTGGCCTGGGACCTTGTGGGCTTAGAAAGGTCGGGAGAGTAGCAGGGGTCTAGGAAGTAGGGTCCGTGTCTGAGTTTGGCCCAGTGCACCAGAGTGGCCCTGAGGAGTAAATTGCTTTATCCAGCCTAGCTGGGAATGGATGCACTGGCACAGACTCTGTCCATTGGTTACATGCATTTGGAAGTGAACTTGGAAATTTGAACTCATTCTCTCCAAAGAAAGAGGTAGTAGAGAGTGTGCAGAGGGATGGATTTGATACTTCTGTTCTTGCTCTATCTTCTGAGTAAATGCCCCCCCCCCCTTTTTTAGCTAGGCAATGGGGTTAAGTGCCTTGCCCAGGGTCACACAGCTAGTAAGTGTTATATGTCTGAGGTCAGATTTGAACTCAGGTCCTCCTAAATCCAGGGCCAGTGCTCTATCCACTGTACCACCTAGCTGCCCCCTAAATGCCCCTTTTGTAAAAGTTAATTGATGCTAATTGATTAAATGATATGGAGGCACTAACGGATGGTATTGATGAGACTGAGGAGATGTTATTGGCACTGGTTAGATGATATTGAAGAGATGACTGGCTAATAAGCAGTTGATATTGGGGAGAATGCACCAGAATGGAGGCTTAAGTCAGCTTTAGAAAACAGCCTAAATCCCTCATGGGTACCCCTAGACTTCTGAAAGGGAGATATAGCCTTCCTTTGGGAGCTGACTTACCAGTTCAAGTGAGAGTCAGTATAAGGACTCCAGAGGGGATACAGACAATATAAATAAGGAAGGAGAGCTCACAGAAGAGTAAATGGAAAACATGTAAAATTTAAGAGTTTTTGTACAAACAAAATAATTGTAGTTAAAATCACAAGAGAAACAGGTAGCTGGGCTGAAAATCTTTGCTGCCAAGTTTCTAAAAGTCTAATAATCAAGCTATATAAGGAAGTGGTTACATTTTATTCTACTAAGAACCATTCCTCAATAGATAAATGGTCAAAGCATATGAACAGGCTGTTTTCAAAAGAAGAAATCCAGGCTATTAACAACCTATGAAAAAATGTTCTAAATCCCTCCAAATCATGTCAAGTTAAAATCCTCCAAATTTCTCCAAATCATGTCAAGCGCTTACTATGAGCCAGGCACTGGGCTAAGTTCTGGGGATACAAAGAGGCAAAAGACAGGCCCTGCCCCCAAGGAGCTCACGGTCTAATGGGGACACAATATACAAACAACCTCAAACAAACAAAATATAGAGGGGAAATTGAAGGTAATCTTTAGCATTAAGAGGAACCAGAAAACGTTTTTTGCAGAAGGTGTCATTTTAGTGAAGATTTAAAGGAAGCCAGGAGGCAGAGATAAGGAGGGAGAGCATTTCAGGTATGGGGGACAGCCAGTGAAAATGCAGAGTAAGGAGATGGAGTGTCTACAATTAGAGAAATGCAAAATAAAGCACCTCCTAGGTTCTGCAAAGACAACAAAAGTGGAAAATGACAAATGTTGGAGGGGTCATGGGAAAATAGGCACACTTATACATTGTCAGTGGAGTTGTGAAATGGTTCGGGCCCTTATGAAAATAATTTGGAACGATGCCTTCCAAGTCACTAAACCATCCATACCATGTGACCTAAACTGTACCCCGTAAGAGATCAAAGAAAGTGTATCGCTGTTGTTTAGTTGTGTCTGACTCTCTGTGAACCCATTTGGAGTTTTCTTGGCTGGAGTGGTTCGCCGTTTCCTTCTTCCGCTCATTTGACAGATGGGGAAACTGAGGTAAACAGAATTAAGGGACCTGCGCTTGAGTAAAGTATCTGAGGCCATTTCTGAACTCACTAAGAGTGAGTTCCTGACTCGAAGCCCAATGCTCTATCTGCTGTGCCAACTGGGGGCTAGCATCCATAGCTACAAAAATATTCTTTTGCTAGTAGCCTCAAACTGAAAACCAATGAGATGCCCACATGTTGGGGAACAGCTAAACAAATTGTGATATAAATTGTAAAGGACTACTATCGGCCTATGAGGAATTATAAAATGGCAGCTTGAGCAGTAAATGAGAAGACATCTGTGACAAACTGATACAGAGTGAAGAGAGAGAACAAGTTATCCAATGACAACAACAGTCTAAGGAAAAACAGCTTGGAAAGACTTTAAACTCTGATCACTGCCACGGGAAATGAGCAGCCTGAAAGCCGAAGATGGAGCTCCCTCCTCATCACCTCCCAGAGCTTCGACGGTCTCTCCAAAGGAGCCTGGGACATCCATTTTCTGGCACTGTTCATGTGGGAATTTGTTTTGCTAGACCCTGCACGTTGTCAGGAGGGTTTTATTTTTATTTTTTATTGTTCAACTGCAGGAGACATAAACTGAACTGGAAATTAATGAACGAAAATGAATTTTCGAAAACAAGTGAAAAAACCATATACAAAATACAGAGGAAGTTTAATAGAAACGGTAAGTAGGGAGAGAAGGTACTAGCAGTTAGGGGGAAATCGGGAAAAGCTACACGATGGTTTGGGGGGACATAAGCCACATTCCCACCTTCAGGTTGACAAACCTATCTCCTCCCATTCACTTTGTGAGGTACCTAGTGCAAATATTATTAGCTTTATTTTACAAATGAAGAAACTGAGTGAGGCTCAGAAAGAGAGAGGACTTGCTGACATTCCCTGTTCTAAGATCCCTCCCAGCTCTGACATCACCTCTTCTGAAGCCCCGCCCAGCTCTGACATTCTGGAGTGCTGCTGTGATTTTAATTACCCTCAGGCTGGGGCTCTGCGGGGGACTTTCCCCCTCTGCTGACTAGAGCTGGTATTGAAACCAGGCCCTTGGGGCTTTCCTTCCCATTTGCCGCAACTCTCCTCACTTCTCCCCATCAGAAAAGTACTGTGGTGATGAGCTAGGCCGGGGGAACTAGGCTGAGGGGGCTAGGCTGGGGGAGCTAGGATGGGGGGGCTAGACTGAGGTGGTCAGGCTGGGGGGCTAGGCTGGGGGGG